CCGGCGTCTGGAGAACCAGCCCGAGACGACTCGGAGACTGCAGATACACAGCACAGCAAAAGAAATATCAGGTCGGATATATATTTATCTAGGCCCAGACACTTTGAATTGTTTGTTCTAACAAAATTTTATGAGGTTTATGCATAGCATGAAAACGGCAGCTGACTTTCATATTGTGATGTAAAACTTCATTTAAAAAATAATGACTAAATGTAAAAATTACTAATTGATTGATGATTGTTTCAAGGTACAAATAAAGCAAAATCTAAATATATTACCGTTCATCATTGCCGCTGTACACAGGAATCCTGGTCCAAAGTCTTCCTGACACGCCATGCGTCTGTGGCTCACCACGGATCAGTCTGGCCTTTATATAACCCCAGAGATCCAATATGCAGGATTTCTGCACCTCATCCATATCACTCTCTCACAGCCCATGGCCCACGATGCCCACAAACTTACTCTGTATTACACTCAAGTATTTGTTAATTACATATACATCAGCCAGCTTTATTGACTGCGGACAGAAGAATCAGTCGGTCTGTGGCAGCGATTGATCTCCAGCACTCAACAAACAGCTAATTGGACTTTTACCACCATTGTTCTGATGGAAAACGCTTATAACGACCTTTGATCCAGGATTGCTCTCTCACAGAGACTGAACACTGAGGTCCTGACAGCACTGAAGACTGATCTGTTAATAATCGCACATGCACATTTATGAAGCATTTCCACAATGCTGAATCATATGCTCTTCTTATGACATTCTTGTGTTGTCCCATAGGAAGGAAAAATCTAAAAATGAGGTCTCTTTAATATCACAGTTGTTCATCATGATCGTGTGTTTACCAAAAACCATTTCTGATAATATTCTTGGATTTTAATGCAAATCAAGGCACAGGAGAATGGTTCTGAAAATGGATTATCATGCTTAACTTGTCAATATGTCGTAGCCTGAATAGCCCACGACTGTGTTTCTCATTAATATGTTCAGCGAAATATTATGGTCTGGTGTTGACATGGTCTGTCTTGGGGGCATTAATATGGCCACCACATCCATCTTGCCCTGTTACTAATAAGTAACAGATCACTAGAGCAGGATCTATTGATTACTGCTGACACATTTTTGTAATCAACTCATTAATCAGATCTAAAACTCTGTTCAGTTTAAGGCCATCGTTGTGCATTTGAATTAAATGGATAAGTATTTTGAATTGCCCATGACTACAAAATTATAATTTCCTAATTTATACATTTATTCTTTTATTGTGCAAAATAATATATATTT